CTATGGTTCTCTATGGTCCTTATCGGGCGGGGGGTTGGGCTGGATGACCTCCGAGGTCCCTTCCGGCTCTTGTTATTCCATGCTTCTAGTCCCACAACCCACAGAACGACAGAGCCGCCGCCGCCGCCGGCTCTTCTTCGGCGTCAAAACGGAGACGTGCAACGCCCCTCCGCAACCGTTTTGGTCCCACGGCCCGGTACTGGCACCCCCAAATGGACCAGGACCGACCCCAGGACGCCCCACCAAGACAAAGGAGAGCCGGGCGGCCAGCCGGTCATCCAGCCTGTCCCCTCGCTTCTCCCCGTGCCACTTTCCAATCCTTCTTGCGTTCGTTGGGCTTTTCGCGGCTCCTTCGCTGTCTCCTCCTGAGGGACGCGAGACTCCGCCGCCATTGGGACGGCTCCTCGTTCGAAGCCGCCATCCCCGTCCTACGGTGCGACGAGGATCCCGTCAGCGCCCAAACGCCGCTTTTCCCCCCAACCGCCGTCCGATGGAGCGCAACCCCGGAAGCCCTTTCTCAAGCGCCGTCAAAAACAAGATGGCGGCGCCTGAGCCGAGGAAGCGGCCTGGGACAAAACGATCCACGGAGCGGGACGGGAAACCGTGGCGGGTGTCCGTCCGTCCTTCCCCGTCGTTGTCTGGCCGCTTCTCTCGTCTTGAACCCCACGTGAGGCCGCCTCCCCGACATGGCGCACGCACACAAACACACACACGAAAATTGGCGAGAGACACCCGTGTCGGTTTTATTATCCGTCCAGGTTTGGGTCAAGGACTTGCTCCGAGTAAGCTCCCCGTAGCTTAGCGCCAACTCCGTGTCCTGAAAGAGCGGGAAGTGGGGGGGGCGGGCTCAACGGCGCCGCGGTGGGCGCCCCGTCTGGTCTCGATCCAGCTTCTCTCCTTCCCTCCCCCGCGGGCCGCTCGAGACCCGAAACGCCGTCGTGGTCCTTCCTGAAGAGACTCGTGCGGGTGTGTCCCGTCCCCCCCGCCGGCTCCGGCGGGTTGCATAGAACGGAGCGGGGGTGCGCGTGAAGCTGTCCAGCGGCGAATGTGGCGCCAGGCGCGAACGGGGGGGACGGGACTCTGTTCCGCAGAGAAGACCCCTCGCGGGATCCGGAGGGTCTCGAGCCTGTTTTCCTCGCCCGTCTCGTACGGACAAGAGATCCGGAGGGTCTCGAGGCCGTTTCCTCGCCCGTCTCGTACGGACCTGCGAAGGCACTGGGGTGAGAGGACGAGCGGCGGCGCGGCGGAAGCGGGAGGGACGGGGAGCGGCGGCCTCCGCTGGTTTCGGCATTGTTTCCTCAGACCGGCATGGGCATTTCGTTGTACTCGTCGACCCCTTCTCGCTCATCCAAGATGGGCTCCGCCTCGGCCGCGTCCAGCTGTTGGCGCGCGCGCCGGCATGCGAGAGAGAGAGAGACACACGAACGAGTGAACAGGCTCGTTTTCCCCCGTCTGGGATTGGCGCTACCCCCAAACACACCCCGCTACTCTGCTCTCTCCGCGAAACTTACACACTTCATCTCCCGCTCCGTGAAGATGCGGCTGAGCAGGCACAAGCGGAGAGGCACGGTGAGGATGAGGATGAAGGGGAAGGCCAACGACGCCACGGTAGACATGACGGCCCACAGGACGGCCAGGCAGGCCAATTGGAGGAGCGTGAAGAGGTGCATCCGCAGCGTCCGGACCTGGCGGGGGGGGGAGAAAAAGGAAGGCCGTCTCGGAAAGCGGCGGTTGGTGGCCCGCACTTGCGACATCCACCGACCCGTAGACGAGAGACCTGTGCGCACGGCACGATGGCCGGTTCAAACCGGTTCAAGTGAACCGGTTCTTCGTCGAGCCAGGAGTTGCAACGACGGGATGGGCCCGGCACAACCCCGCGCCTCCTCCCCGGCGTCCGATTGGGACAGTGGGAAATCGCAGGGCCGGCGTGGAGACTCGAGGAGAGCGGACAAGCGTCCTCCCGGAGGTTCGGCAACGCTCGTTTCTTGTCTCCGGAAGCGAGGAAAGACGGAAAACGGTCGTTCCGGAAGTCCGTCGCGGCCACTTTCCAGCCTCCGGAGCCCGAAGACAGGAGTCCGATGAGGCCGTGCCCACCCTGGCCACGCCCACCCGTTGCTCCGTTGCCGTGAACTGCACGAATCCCACCCAAGACTCGGAGGTCCCGAGGGCTGCCGTCGCGGCGTCGGGAGAGGCCGGCCGGGAGCGACGCCGAGGGGCTGCTTGTCCCGCCAGAAAACCACGAAACCTCCCGCCTTCGATCTAAAGAACACATCCCGACGGGGTGGGAAACCGCTGCCGCCGGGGTTGTCTTGGCTCTCGCTGTGGGGGATTTTTGGAGCCCACCGACTCGCAGGTAAGGTCAAAGGGAGTGTGACCCCCCCCGCCAACGAGTGTGACCATGGGCAATGCCCCCCAAATAGCTGGCGAAGGTCAAGACATTCGTCCCTTTT